AAGTTAGCTGGAAAATCGAGGGTACGACAATTTCATCCAAGCAATGCAGTTAGTTGTTGTTTCATTTGAGGATCTTAACAATCTCGTTTTACAACTATGAAACAAACAGGTAAGGTCTGATCGCAAAACCGCCAAGAAAAGTTTCAGAAATCAGATCGACAATGTTATTGTTTTAATTTTCTTTGGCTGTTATATTTCAAACTATTAATATAGATAGTATTTTAGAACTAAGAGAAAATATGTACTGTAGTGTTGGCTGTGGGTGGTGGTGATAGTGTCAATTTGAGTTATGGGTGTGAATGTGGGTTTGGGTGGAATGAAGTGTATGTGTGGCTCGGGCTCATGATGTCGGTATAACTAAGGTATATGAACGTGGATGTGGGCGGAGGTAGGGATACGAATGTGACTGTGAGATCGATGGATGCGCTGTCCCTTCGCTTCACCCAGACCTACTCATACTCAAATTAAGAGAGACATTCAATGGAGTAGTCACATCATTGTCATTATGATGGGCAGATCTAAGAGATGTTTTACTGTTGGCTTATAGCAAAATATCCTGTGCATACTTTTCGAATACTGAAGACGAGTTCCTCTTCGACTAGCCAAGCCTCAATTTCTGTCAGTTACGTTGATTTACATCAAGACTGCGTCAGATCATTATGAAAGTATACATGTCGGAAAACAATGTTCAGCTTCATACTTCGAAAAAGTTTGAGAGCTATCAAGCGAAACCTCAAGGCATAGGATTCTGTAGCAAAAGAATAGTGCACCATTAGGTGCTTAGATTGTTGTGCCTTGGCATTCATGAAAAATATGTATCCGTATGCGATGCTGAATGGATTAAAACTTGACAATCGGTTTACGAACTAATCGATTGAAATTTAAATGAATCGACACCGCTAGACGATGTCGATCTGAAAGAAATTTGAACTATGAAATTCAATAACAATGAACCCAGATAAATGTGTATTTATGTTGGCCATATGTAACCGATTCAGTCTTTTGTTCTTTCGAACAGCTGTGATATCAATTCAACTCGTCTTGGTCCTTTACTCTCTCTTGCTGTCAGTTTATTTTATATGAACAGTAACATTTAAAGAAGTGTGAAGCACATACTGCTAAAGAGTTTCTATTTTGAAAGTCAAGGAATTATCATTTCGTTTATTGTTGGTATGTTATCATAACACGATAGGGACGTAACACCAAACTCTTTGAAGTGGGTCGGATTTGGATGTGTATGGGCTGTGAGTGTGGGTGTAGGCGTGGCTCAGACAGCAAGAACACCCGCATCTAAGCTACAGCCTCACTAACAGTCATGCCCACACACATCCACAAATCAAGAGTTACATTGAACAACGTCATCGAAGCTAGAAAAAAAACAAAATTTCAGATCATTGTAATTCGTTTTCAAATTATCTCACCTAAATCTTTAGAAAACTTTACTTCGAACTGAGAATATTCCTATTAGCATGAAAATCTCGATAACGAACGGCAAGAGGCGATGACATGTTACGTGGTGAAACTGCATTACCGGCAAACATAAAGGGTGTGTCATAAGTTTTGATTCTCTTCAAGCGATAATCCTTAGTTATATATTTTTTCGCTAGAATAGGCTAATATTCACCGCATATATACAAGACAGCTAGATATACTCTACGGTAGAATTTCAGCTTTCTATCTCTTATAGTCACAGAGATACAAGTAACTTAAAATTCATGGGAATTATTTGGAACAACTGGTGGTCCAGAATAAATGACCGCTTTTTCGATTTCATATTCTCGTCATCTAATGCGTTACATTAAAAAACAAAACATACCACAAAATGCAGCATGAAAAGCTCTACAGCCTACATAGTAAAGTTTATTTTAATTATGTACCTATTGTTTTCAAAAAAAAGAAAAACTCAGTGCGACCGATTTTTGATGCTGCTAAAAGATCACTTTTTTTCTACATGAACGAATTCCTTTCTACTTATGTCATCTTTTTATCGTCCATACGCTTTCTTAAAAAACAGAATATACCAAAACATACAGCACGAAAAGCTCTGGAATCTACATAGTGAAGCTTATCTTAACTGTGTACCATTTATTTTCAAAAAATGTGCAACCACTCTGCGCAGAATCGAAAATTGATCGCACATTTTTTGAAAACAAAAGGTACGCAGTTAAAATAAGCTTAACTATGTAGGGTGTAGAGCATTTCATGCTGCATCTTGTCGTATATCCTATTTTTTAATATAACGCATTAGATCATGAAAAAATGAATTCCAAAACACGGTCATTTATTCGGGATCATCTATTATTTCAAAAAATTCCCATGAATTTTAAGTTATTTGTATCTCTATGACTATAAGAGATAGAAAGCTGAAATTCTAGCGTAGAGTAGATCTAGATGTCTAATATATATGCTGTGAATAATAGTTTATTCTAACGGAAAAACATGTAACAAAGGAGTATTTCTTGAAGAGAATCAAAACTTCTGATACACCCTTTATAGAAAAGAAACAAATATTAATTTATATCTAAAATGAGATTGTTGCTTACTTAGATATCAGAAATTAGATTTAATATCTTCATTAGTTACTCGAGCATGTCGTATTTGTTCATCAGATGAAATTTTAAACAAAGCAATACAACACATCAAAAATGTATTAAATTGTAATGGGTATCCAAAACAGATTATAGAACGTAAAATAAAAAAATGCTATATGCAAAGAAAAACAAAACAACAAGATCATAACAACAATAATATTAATCCAACATCAGACAATAAAGAAGATAAAAAGTAATTTCATTTTAAGTTATACAGGATATGAATCTTTTAAGTTTAATAGAAAATTAATGAGAATTATTCGTCCAACCAAAATTAATACCAGCATCATTTTTAAGAAACACAAAACAATAGGACATTTTAAAGCAAAAAAATGAAAGGAAAAAATTTTTAAAAATGGTGCTATTTATTGGACTGAATGTAAAGGCTGAGAAAATAGATGTAGGACAAGCTGTAATAGACATCGATGTAAGTATGAAGGAACATAAAGAAAAATATAAATCAAATAATCGTCAATCATCAACTATAATAGAACATTCGAAAAAAATGAATCACGGTTTCAACTTTGATGAACCAAATATACTAGCATTTGGTTCTAATGAATGAAAGCGTGAAATCAAGAAAACACTGCTCACCAAAAATGCACACATTGGACTTTGAATGAAATTTCATTCAATAATAACATCTTTCGAATGGATCTTAAAATTATGATTAGTCAAAGAAGTTCAAATGAAAAACTCGATGAATCATAAAACATCAATATACCTCGAAAAGTTGTAAAAATTGCCATAATTGCCGGATGATGACACATGTTTGTGTTGAAGGCTTGCTGTTATGATATATAATAGTTTGTATTCATAACCTTCTTGAAACAATATATGAGTAACAATAACTTGAAGGAAAAAAACAAATCACAATTTATCACTTCACAAGCAGAAAAAAACATATAATATAAGTCTATACTAATAATCAATCAGGAGATCACTACAAGAGAATAGATAGAATGGAGAGGAAGGTTAGAGAACGACAAGTGGTGTACCCTAACACGTGCAATAAAAAAATGAACTTTCTATATATTTTCATCTTCATTTCCAAACATACGAGTAAGATGCCAGTTAATGTTAAAATATAAACAAAGCTCCAACAATATGCATGCCCCCATATCCCGTCATTTATTGTCACCGGATTGCTAAGTTGTCCGAAAGTTCGAAGAATTGGTAATGCAGTCCCGTTTGAATTAAAAAAGCTATTTTTGTCAAAGCCGGCTAAATTCGTGAAGCTTTTTAATGTCACATATTCCGCAGCCCACCATACAAGGCCAAATTCTCTCTTTTTTCCTGGTAAGTCACGTAACATATCTGCAATAGAGGTAATGTACAGCATTTGTCCTTCCGGACTCTCCTCGAATCCAGTGACATTCTTCATGGATTGTTTCGAAGAAGGGTCTGTATCCCAGGGATAAGCTGTTTCAACGATGAAGATCGATTTGTCATAATGGCGAGAAAGTTGTTCAAGACAGAAATGCAGTGCATCTAGCTTACCGTGCCAAAATGGATAATAGCTAAGGCCAATTATGTCAAAATCAATATCTGCTATAACTTTATTAAAATACCACTGTGCATGCGCCCATCTGGTGGATGCAGTGCTGTGTATGATAATTTTTGTCTTTTGTCCAACTACTTCCCGCACAGCTCGACTGGCAGCTTGCAAAAGTGCTGCCAAGCGTGGCCAATCACTGTCATTATTCAATCGTCCATCGGGCCATAACATTCCATGCGTAATTTCATTCCCGATTTGTACATATTCCGGAATCGATTTGGCTTCAACAAATGCACGTAGAGATTCGCGTGTATAATCATGAAGTGTCGCTACTAGTTGATCGAATGTAAGATTTGCCCATGTATTTGGCTTTGACTGGTGCCCTGGATCAGCCCATGTGTCAGAGTAGTGAAAATCAAGCATAATTTGTAGTCCCTGAGCTTTGATTCGACGAGCTAACTTCAGTGCAAGATTCAATGTATGTCCATAATTATACGGGTCAGTTTTTGCTTGTTGTTCATTTGCAGTGAATAGACGAAGTCGAATCAGCTCAATATGATTGTCTTTCATAAGTTGAAATATATTCGTTCGTTGGCCGTGCTCATCTCGGTAGATGACATTGTGTGTCTCGAAAAATTCAACATGGGATATATCGACACCAATGGACAGGGCTGACGACGATGTAATGAATAGAAGACATATAAAAATCGACATGGAAATTGTTTTTCAATATGTCTAATCACACGTGCGCTTTATAGTATGTGATCCGTCATACTTCGATGGGTTCAGAAAGTTGATACCTATGATACACGGACAATGCGTGATGAATCATTGAGTCAATAGCAAACCATACACTTTGTGCGGCGCCACTTGTCTTGTCACTTTCCCGAAGGATGAAACTAGTACGAAACATTATTGCACAGACATTAAACGACTTTGGCAGGATCAGGTTTTTTATGACTGAGTTCTGTGTTCAAGATCAAACTTGGCAGGTGACGAGACGGACGTGGCAATGGCTACCCCGAACCAATGAAATACTTATCCATGGGAATAGTTGTATGTGTTACGAGCAGATGACTGTCAGCCAGTCATGATAACAACTTTTTATAATGAGCATTATTAAAGCAGACAGGAGAAACGTAGATCACATAAAAATTCCAAAAAATATTCTGCCAGTGTGTCTCTTTTTTTCTTGTCTCATCTGGTTAATGAATGTGTAACAAATGTGAGTCATACGCTATTCGAAAGAGCGGAAAATTTCCTATCAACTGATGAGAAAATATTTTTCTCGACACGTGCTTATGCAAGGGCTATCGAAGAGACAGATATGGGGATTAACATTTTGCGCCGTTTTGCTGAATCTCGGGGAAAATGCGAATTATTATCAAGGTGCTTCTCTTTTCTGTTGTGTCGTTTCGTTTATGAATGTGTTATAAAAAATAATTTATATATAATTATCTTTTCGTGAAAAAAAGTTTTTTTTCATTACCATTGTATCGAAGAGAAATAAGGATAGACATTTTGTGCCCTGACTTTTGCAAAGTATGTTATTAACAATGTTTTGGTACAACAGTTCTATTTAAAGTATACATGCAATGCTGAACTGAGCATTATGAATTTCATTGACAAAACCTGAATTGTTCCTGGTATCTACAGCCAAGAGAGCATTAGTGGGGATGAAAACCTACCCTTCCTGCGTTCCCATTCACTGTAACCTTACCGTAATGATGCTTCTACAATGGTGCTTTGAAACGCCGTCTATAGTACTTGCCATTTTCTCCCACACATTGTTATATGTACCCAGGGAGTAAAAAAATGAAAAAAATTTCATTTAAATGATTATTTTCAAACTTTTCATCAAAAAAATTTCGTTACTGTAATTATTTTGCAAAAATCAAACTCATCCAGATAGTTTCATTATCTTTGTATCATTTTCATTGCTTTAAATTGTTTATTCTAGAAAAACTGAAATTACTGCATTGATTTCATTTCTTTTGCATGATTTTCATCAGATAATCTTAATTTTTCTGAAAAACTATAATAATAACAGTACTTTCTTTATTTTTGCATAGTTTTCATTCCATTAAATTGTCTATTTCAGAAAAATTAAAATCATTGCACGAGTTTTAGTTTTTTCGCATTATTTTCATTAGATGATCTTGATTTTTTTACAAAACCATAATCATTACAGT